CACACACACACACACACACACACACACACACACACACACACACACACACACACACACGCTTTGTGAGTCTGTCATCACTGGAAGGAAGTCCTCATGTTAAAGAGATAGTTCTTATCTTTAGAAGTGGAGTTCTGTGGGAAGATTGTGAACAATTACCATCTTACCTGTTGTAGATAGCTCTTTGAGCATCTGTTAAAAACAAACAGAGCTGCCATCTTAAAAAACTTCAGTCTCAAAATTTCATAGCAGTTTCTGTAGAGGTGGAAATCTTTAGGTATGTTGGAATTTGATTCATTACTATTCTGTGGGCTGCTATGTGAATATAAAACAATTATCAATTCATTTGAATTATCTTAAAAAGTTAAATGACCAGGTCTGTTTTGCATAAATAAACACTGATTTAGACATTTTACTGCCTAATAAAGAGCGCAAAAAAACATAATAAAAAGAAAAACTTTGGTCAACCGGCTGCTGGATAATGCGGCTGCGAGTATTAAAAAATGTGTTGAAGACTTTTATTACATTTTGCGTCAATTATTACATAATGCGGTTTTTGTTTATTACATTTGAAGCCTGATTTTATTACATTACATAATGCGTTATTACAAAATGAGGTCTCACAAACCTTTCACATTATCTGCATATTCCATCAGAATGTTGTGTAGAAAAAGTAGTGTTCTTTTACTGAAATCATGTCTTAACCAGACAGAAACTACATGAAAGTTAAAGAGATTAAAAGATGAAGAGAATAGACCATACAACCACTCCAGTACTGGTTCTGAACAGCGCTTTAATGCTTCAAGTGTCAGTGTCAGCAGCGTTCAGATTGAACCCCGGAAGTACAACCAGTTTTATCCTATCTTTTCAGTATCTGGCCCGCACAACGCATACCTATGGCTGAGACCAGATGGTCAAAGAGAATTAATGTTCCTACTGTTTAAACCAACAGTTTCCATGTGTTGTCATGGTGTTCTAGGCTAAACCTATTTTAATCAAGGCATAACAATAATCACACAATAGTTTAAAGAAACCAGTAATTACCTAGGAAAACTATAAGATGGTGTCTTGCTTTTAGAATCGGTAAGTAAATGACCAATAAATTTCTTCAGTTGTATTTCAGAAATTTCTGGTAAAGGTGCCCCAGGCTGCACAGGAAATGCTACAGCTAGCTGTTGCTTCTATTTGAAATAGCAAAATACTATAAAATTTGATACAAATAACCTGATGTGAAATTTATGGAGGTTACAGGTTTATAAAATTAGTTATACATAAACTGCAAGGAAAGTTTAGAGACTTGAAGTTCAAGAAAGCAGTAATCCACTTTGGCTTGGGTCTGACTAGCCATTAGCTCATCATTGTGGTCAGAATTAAACTGTTTCAACAAACTGAGGTCGTTCAATGAGCCATCTACAACAGATAAGATACTAAACGGTTATAACCTCTCAGCAGACTCTGTTTCAATCATTTGAACTCGCCCTTTAAGGCTCAGGCTTGAGCTGCATTTCATTTTTCTGTCCTGTATTATTTTCTCTGTTTCTCTGCAGAAAAAAACAAAAATTTTCCTGTATTTTCCCCTTATTTTGAAAATGAAACCATACTTTCAATTAAAGTTTTTCTCCACCAAGAAGAGGCTTGTTATCTTGAAAAAAAAATAGACAAAGTGAATTATTTAGTGGTGAATAGCAGAAAGTTGTTCACAGTGCAGTGATGTGCTCACAGCATTGATTAGGAGTAATTAGAAGTTAAGCTCAATGGGACTGTTCAATACGTGGAAAAAATACCAGCAGTGTTGTCATTCTGTCTGAACAGAGCAGGTGGTTTCAACATCCCACCACGTTTATTCAGTCTGATGAACACAGAAAGGATTTTGTGTTATGATGATCTGGTTTGAAGGTTCTTTTCCCTTCACTTCTGTCCAGTTATATAAAAAGTTATTTCAACTTATCTTGAGGAAGTCATGCAGCCTTTCAGTGGAGTGGAAACACACGCTCAACAATAAACCACAGCTCCTTTCTGTGTCTGTTAGTTTAGGTGTTTGTTTTTATGAGCTGGCAAAATGGCATTCCAATAAAACCAAGTGATAAACTTCATGAAGGCAGAATGGTGACGTGTCTCTTTTTCTGCGAAACGGCATGAAGCTGATGAGAAATGCCTCCTGCTTCGTCTCCTCCACACACCTCCTTGTCACTCCCCAGCTTTCACACACTCTGAAAACAAAAACATACAAAGAAAGGCCAACCTCACATGGAGAAGATGCTGACCCCTCTGTTTGCTGTGTGACTGGAGCTGTCGAAGCAGCAAAATTCACCCCCCACCCCCACCCCCGTCCTGACTGCCCCACAACTCCATCCAGCACCAAGACGGGACTGAGCTCCCTGTAGAGATCTGAGTTATAACAAGTTGACCTTCACATTAAAATCTCATCAAATTCTCCTCTCCCTCTGTACCTCCCCCTTCTTCTCCTCCTTCGTCTCCTCCTCTCTCTGTCCTCTGAGCATCTTCGTTTTTTTTCTGCTGTCAGTTCTGCACAGTTAAAGCTTTAATGTCAAGCTTTATTAAAACTGCTGTCAAATTATTGTTGATGCCGGGATCTTTATTTGACTCACCAGGTTGTTCACATTTTACAGTCATGTTAAAGAGAGGATTCTCCTGACATTGTCCAGTTTATAATCTTAGATTCAGACTTGAATCTGTTTTCCTCTGAGTTTGAGCACCAAATGTTTGCACTGCATTAAGCCAGATTCCTTTTGATCATCTTTTAAAGTCTCTCAGTTATAATTTAGAGATTTTTATTTGGACTTTGTCTGCTCTCTTCCTTATTTTCAGTCCAGTAAATTGACTGCTTACTGTTTTTATTTCCTGCCTTAATGATTCACAAATCATTAAGTTGCTTAAAACAAAACAACAAAAATCATCTGAAAATGGTTCACTATTAATCAGAAAATGAGTGACAAAGGAACAAAAAAGACTCAGACTTTATGGTCATGGATGCTAGTTTTGAGAAATTCACGTCTCACTGAAAGTTAAACTTGTAATAAAAAGAAAGGTGCTGTTTTTATCTGATGTCGACTCCCAACCTTTTTCTCAAGACTTTGTGTAAATCTGCTTCCACGAGCCGAACCCTCAGCTCTCACAGGAGAGTTCTGCACATCACTGTTGCTGTGACATGATCTCTTTTCTTCAGCACCGCCTCCTCCTCCTCTTCCTCCTTTGCTTCTATCTTTGCTCCATCTCATGCTCATCCTTTTCTTATAGAACTCTCTCTCACTCGTGCTTTCGCCCTAAGGTCAGAGTGTGCTGCAGACTATTGATATTGTTACTAAAAATATAGGATTCCTCCACCAGCCAGTTAAAAATAGAAAAAGGGACACGGACCACAGGGGACAAAGAAGGAGAGGGCATGAGGAGAGAAGACAGGACAATCTCGAGTTAGAGGGAAATGAATCCTAATTCATTCACATTGGTCATAAAAATAGATTCACAGCATTTAATCTGCTGACCAACTCAAGTTTCATTTATAGAGCATTTAAAACAACCAAAGTGCCAAACAATAAAACCATGAAACAATTAAAGGTGTGAAAAAGCAAATACATAAAATCAGAATAGACTAGAAGAGACAAACTAGAACCAGACCAAACTAGAAGAGAAAACATTGGAAATAAAAACTAATTTAAAAGCAAAATTACTTAAAAGACAAACCCTTATTTGCAAATGAAAGCCACAGAAAATACGTGTGCATTTTATCTTTGACTTTAATTTTGAATCACAGCTTTATTTTTGTTCTTTTTACTGTTTTGTTTGTTTTATTGTGTTTATTTTATGGCCTGTATGTGCTTTGTTCTGCTCATTTTCTTTCCTTTTTATTTAAGCAGGAAAACCTGAAGTTTAAAAACGTCTTATAGGAGATGAACGCATCAAAGATGAATAAAACACAACAATAATGCGGTTTAAACTGGAGAAACTGCATATTTTGCTGAATGCTAAATGACTGCTGAAACTTGCTGAAGAAGCTGAAACTGTATCGCTAAAGCTGAGATGAGCAGAAAGTTAAAAGCTAAAACTAACAAAGATGGAGAGAAAAGCAGCAAAATGCAAGTTAAAAAGAACAGAATTCAGCTAAATGTAGCAAAATAGTAACTAAAAAAAGCTGCAACAGATCTAAAGGAGAACAAAAATGACTGAATGAGCTAAATGTTTCTGAACTTATCACAAATGAAATTAGTGTTTAGTAGATTATTTCGTTGTTGTAACAATGCAACTTGGTAATAATACTTATATTGTTGGAAAACCTGTCAATTTCTCTTTTAAATATTATGAGGTGAGCAGTAAAAGCATTAATAAACGCAAACTTATTTACTTTTTGTGCTAAGTATATATAAAAAGCTAAAATGGCACAAACTGGGCAGAAGTAGTGAGATTGCAAAAACATCTAGTCAAGTAAAATCGGGAAACCAATAATGCTGACTCACCATTCACGCAATTAACATCTGCCGCAGAAACAAAAAGGATTTTAAGATATCAGATCATAAATTAGACAAGTTGATTTTGCAAATTTAATTAACTCAAAATATTGTTTTTTTATGCGACAAGGAACAAAAATATATAAAAACTTAAATTCTAAAGGCTAAAAGCTGCTTCAATGAGCCAAACGAAACTGTTCTGGATAACTGTGATGGGATCTGTGTGTGTAGTGACACACCCCCACCACACACACACGCACACACACACACACACACACACACACACACACAC